GAGCTATGTGAAAGACTTTATATACTTTGGTTCTTAGGCAACTAGCTGATTAGGAACAATCAAAAATACACACTTTTATATGAACTTATAAGTTGAGTTAATCTTTACAAAAACATAGTAGATATAAACTGTTTCTTATGGCAAATGACTTAGTTCAGCTCTTGAAGGATAGCTGATTTACCACTTGGCAATGTTTGTTTTCCTTTGAGCAAACTAAGTCATAAAAAGAACCTGACTAATAATCCAAGAGCTATCTCCCAATTAATCTCACAAGGAAATGTCTGAATTGTTTCCAATCACATGAACACAATCTTATGGTATGTACTATAATCTTCTCTATCGTTAATGCATATAAAGCCTTCTACTTTGGCCTTGTAATTTATACTCTCGTTCAGCAGGTTTGACCCTGCTTCTCTAACACAATTTTTAAAATACATATCTTATTTTTGTTGTTGGGAACATACATAGCAAAACATATACCAATTCAACTTCTACACATACAGTTCATGAAAACTGATTCTCTGGAACCGTTTTTAAGATTTGGAATACAAATGGTTAAAACTATGGGGTTTTATTTCCATTTTTTAAGTTTTTTTTAACAAGCTTTAGGGTTCTTGTTAGCAAAATTTTATTTTTGTTAGCAAGATTTGAAACACTAAGTTCTAGTAGAAACACAGACCACTTTGACATAAGCTATGCAGAAATATGCAACCCTGATGGTGTGTAATGTGTTGGACTAACTCAAAGTTTGGCAGTTTGAATCCACTATCCACCTTGGAAACAAAATATCAGACATCAGAGTAATTTACAAACTAGTAATGAATCCTAGGTCATGGATGGAGGCTCTGGTAGGTTGTGATGAGAGAGCCTCTTTTAAATTCTTCTTTCCCTGATATTTGCACTCTGGCATTCTTATCTGATGGTCTGTTGTTGTTATGTGCCATGGGGTGATTTGCGACTCATAGTGACTCTATGTACAACAGCCCTAAATCCTGCTCTGTCCTGTACCAATCGCATTGCCTCTGACGAATCAATCCACCTCATAGAGGGTCTTCCCCTCCTACGCTGACCCTCCACCCTCCCAAGCATGATGTCCCTCTCCAAAGACCTGTCTCTCCTTACATGTCCAAACTATGTCAGATGAAGCCCCAGAATCCTGGCCTCCAAGGAGTAGCCTTGTTTAACGCTCTCTAGGATGAATCTGTTTGTTTTCTTGGCAGTCCAGGGTACATTCAATACTCTTCTCCAGCACCACAGTTCAAAGGCATCAATTCTCCTTCTATCCTCCCTAGTCATTGTCCAATTCTGATGCATAGCAAGTGATTGAAAAGACCATGGCCTGTATCAGGCGCACCTTAGTTTCCGGAGACACTGTTGCTCTTGAGTACTTTAGGGAGGTCCCTAACAACAGACTTTCCAATCGCAATACGTTTTTTTATTTCCTGGCTGCTGGGGCCAAGAGTGTTGACCGTGGAGCCGAGCAAACTGAAGCTGTGAACAATCTCAACCTCTTTGCCATCCATCCTGACGCTACCAATTGGTCCAGTGGTGAGAATCTTGTCTTCTTGACATTGAGCCTCAGTCCATACTGAAGGCTGCAGTCCTTGACCCTCTGCAGCAAGTGCATGATGTCCTCCTCAGTTTCAGCAAGCAGGGTTGTGTCATCTGCATAACGCATCAATCCTGACGCCACACTTTTCCTCATAGAGCCCAGCCTCTCATATAATCTGCTCTGCATACCGGTTGAACAGGTATGGAGATAGAACACATCCTGGCATACACCCTTCCCAATTTTGAGCCTGCTGTGTTCTGATGACTGCCTCTTGGGCCAAGTATAGGTTTCGCATTAGCACGATTAAATGTTCTGGGATTCCCATTCTTCTCAGAGTCAGCCACAGTTTGTTATGATCCACACAAACGCTTTTGCATAATCAACGAAACACAGATAGACATTCTTCTGGTATTCCCTGCTTTCAGCTAAGAGCCATCTAACATCAGCTACAATATCCCTAATACCACGACCCCTTCTAAACCCAGCCTGGACTTTTGGCAGTTCTCTCGATAATCTTCAGTAGAATCTTGCTTGCATGTGAAATCGATTAAAAAAGGCATAGAAAGTCTCTGGATTGGAGGATGAGTGTGTGGGTGAAGTTTAATCCATCTTCCATTTCTGTCTCAAGAACCAGTACTATTCCACTCCTTTTTCTGGATTTGTCTTTCATAGCCCCTGGAATTATAAAATCTACAAGCCTGAGTTGAGACTATAAACCCAGTAAAAAAAGCCTGAAGAAACCATTGGTTTTGTTTACTTACTAAATGTGAATATAGGCCTATGTTTAAATCCTGGCTGTACAGCAGAGCGTAGGCCCCACCCTGGAATAATTAAGCCAAAATCTCTAATAGGCAGTGACCAGGCACCAATCTTCTTTAAAGTTTGCCAACTGATTCCAATGTATGACTAAGATACAAAAGTCCTACTCTTTCATAAGTTTGCTTTTAACACAGTCAGGAAAAAGAAGAATCTTGAAAGACTCTTCTAACACTTCTGACAATGAATGGTTGAACATTCCTGGCTAAATAATTATAGTAAACATAAAGGGGAAGACAGTTTAAAAAAAAACACACGTATTGCTCATGTTTTGATTGTATTCAAATTTTTTATTTTTTGAACAAAAAAAGACAATTATTTTAAATAAAACATGATCTATCTAGACACTTGGTTTTTATTGACAGCTTATTAAATGTGGACTCCTCATTCTGTTGTGAGGTTCTTTTTATTTATCATTTCTTACCATCTAACTGTCACTTCATATTTTCTATACAAAGAATCACTCTGTTTATGTGAAGTTTAGGAAATACTCTACTATCACATAAAGCACAAACAGAATAGTCATTTAAAAAAATATTTACAAAACACAAAGAAGTCTGTTCAGCCATTTTGGTTTTGTCGCTACATTGCCCATACTGACATCAACATACAGCTAAGTAATAAGCAAGTTTTCATCTCAGTAGTGCAAAGGATGGCATCAACCAAACCTCATTATACAAACCAACAAAGTACAAACAACAATATTCAACTTGTATAATAATGCTGTTTTAAAAAAAAAAAAACCAAACAAACACGTAGTGGGTCACAACCAGACTGGTTTTCACTGTGAACGACACACCCAATTCACATGAAGACAGGAATATGCAATGAAGCCTTTGCTCATGAAGAAAATGCCCTTCAAACAAACTCATCATAAGGCAAAAAAAAAAAGAAAAGAAAAAAGGGGGGGAGGGAGGGAGAAGGGAAAAAAGGAGCATTTTGGCCCAGGGAAAAGCTGATATATAATGTGTATATACACATTTATAGCTATACTGCAGTTTAAACCATGTCATTAAACAATCAAATGAATTGGCTCAGTGAAGTGAAAGTGTCCATTTTTGTAGAAGTAAGTAGTTATTGCTAATATGGTACACATTATGCTTTGACATGGAAAGTGTTAACTTGGGACTTACAGCTGCTATATTGCCTGCCTGTTAGTCCTGAAGCACAGGCATCTATATGAGTATGAATTCAGGAGAAAAAAAAATATAAATATCACTACCAAAAAAGAAGAAGAAAGGCTTTTGCACTGTCCCTTACATTTTTTCTTTTTTAAAAAAACCCAACAAAAAGTCCAGTTCACCACAAGTTAAGCACAACCTGACAAGCAAGTTTGAGTGGTATGATGGGAAGAGTGAAATACAGCATGCATTTACAACTACCACTGATCTAGTCTATTTTTGTCATACAAATTGGAATACAAAAATCCAATTGAAATAAGACAAGATTAACTGTAATAAAAACAAAACCCCACACATACACACAGCAGACTTAGTTTGATACTGATTACATCTTAACAGTAAAATTCATCTTGTCCCATCTTAATACATTACCATAATTCATTTACTGGTGGCTAGAATATTTACTTAAAAAAGATATTAAATACCTGTGTCATGAAATTACATTCTTATAACAATAAGACATACTGTATAAGAAAATAGTTCATGTGTGAAATGTGTCTGAAATGCATTTTCCTCACAACTATCAAAACATTCACACTAAAACAAATATAACCCAAACCCCCTGAAAAAAGTTAAGGAAAGACGGGGTAGGTTGGATGAGGAGCAGGGCAGTAAAGGCTTAGCTAAACTAATTACAGCACAGTGATTAACAATGGTTCAAGACAGACCAACAAGTGTTGGTCAAAAAAGATGCCTTCAATAAATGGCTACAATTAAAAACCAAACTCAGCCACTTTTGGTTCACTGAAGTGAGACCAAAAAATATCTCTCACAGATTCATATAAATACTAGACTTCGGCTCTTTTATTATTACCATTTTCCATTTGTTTTTGCAAGGCTTATCTACCTTATTACAATTTAAATTTGCTCTGCAACAACTATAAGAGGTAGGCATAAAGCATGAAAAAGTTTCTCAGTCAGTACCTCACTGTGTATTGTCCACTTTAGCCTTAGGAAAACAGATTATCTTCTAGTCTTTCCTAAAGCCCACTACGAAGCTACTGACATCCCATATATGCTTTAAAAGCGTGTACTCACAAATAAGAAACTTTTTCTACTGAAGGATACTGTCATAGTGTTTGCTGCAGAGCCTTCATCTATATAGAGATATACAGGTGTGTATATATGAATATATTTATTTTTAAAAACAAACAAACAAAAAACCTGACAATAATAAAACCATCTAGGTTCCTAGAACCAAGTTTCTTGATTCTCTACTTCCACAAAATAAAGAGTACCATTTAGCCAAGACTATAGATGTGGGATTTTTTGTGGTTTTTTTTGTTTTTTATTTCTTCACAGATGCAAATGTCATGCAAAATAAATTAAACAACAGTTACCAAAATATGTATGTGATAAAACTACTGAAGGTAGATCTTTAAAAGTATTTATATAAACATAATTTATAATACTTCTCTTTTTTTCCTTTATATACAGTCACAGAGTCGTAGTTATACATCTAGGATTTCCTCAGCTGTGCCTCCACAGCGCAATCTGTACCGACCAGTTCTCCAACTTATAGTAGGGTCCCATAACGCTGACAAGAAGATGTATATCGTCATGGATTCACGGATGAACCAAGCTACAGCATAATCAAGTTTTGAAAAACACAGTGTCCCGCCCTAGGAATAAAAAACGGAGGGGGATGGGAGGATTTAATGTATCTATCAGATAAACTAAAGACAAACTAAAACACCAAATTCTTGGATTTCACTTTTCTAAGTATACTACATGAAGCTCTGATAGTGCAAAGGAATTGTGCTGTCAAACCAGAGGTTATGTGGTTCGAATCCACCAAGAGCTCTGTGGGATAAAGAAGGGTATCACCTCCTGTGTGATTTACTGCCTCTGAAAACCTACAAGCGGGTCAGCTATGGGTCAGTTCCAACTGACCCAACAAGTAATATATATCTGTATCTTTTTATACATTTTATATATTCAGTGGTGAAATGAGTTATGCGTAGAACTGTTAACCAAAAGAATGGTGGACTGAATCCACCTGGCACTGTTTGGGAGAAAGATTAGCCGTCCCCTCCCATAAAACTTTAAAAGCCTTGGAAACCCAATGGCGTGACCTGGAAATCAGCTTGATGGGCTCAGTAAGTATACACAACATAAAATCAAGGCTGCTGCTTTACAGAATTTAACTGCCATGCAACATCATTTAAGAAAATGTCAATTATGAATAGCAATAGCCTTGACTGCCATCTGAAATGATCCTTAAGCTGAATACTTTGATTTGCTTGGCATCATTTTTGAAGCCTTTATAAAAGTGAATTTATAACCAACTGAAAGTTGCAAATCAAGTTTTGCATGAACATTCCACTAGGGAAACTAATGTTTTAATTTTAAACAATTCCCTCCAAGTGGGAAGCTAAAAACTCAGAGATTTTCATCAATCTTTTTTAAATAACTGCCAGCCTTTTAGTGTTTAGCCACATACCTGGACACCCCTAAGTTGAATGTAGTCAAATATAAACCACGCCAGGCAATGACACATGAAAAATACCATAATATCCCATTGGAATACATGGTGGGCAGCCCATCCAATAATTAAACTGGCAACAAAGCATTCTGATATTGGCTCACAAATGATTGTAGCAGGAAGCATGTTAATTCGTAATTTGGCCCATCTGAAAAAGAAAATAAAACAGCATTTCCTTTAAAAGAACAGGCTAGTTTCAAAACTACCAGATTTTGTTTACTTTCTGCCCAAAATGACTCTTTATACATTTTTCTTCTCCTCTTTAAAGCTTTTCTATGAATATTTTTTCTATTTTAACTTAAGATTATAAAAGTCTATAAGTTCTTTTCAATGGCTTACATTCTGATAAAAAAATTAAAATGTTTTAAAAAGTTTTAAAAATTTAGTCAAATATAGAAAGGTAGAAAATCCAGGTTAGTACAAAAAGAAAGCCAAAAATCTCAATGATTTTTTTAATGAAAGCTTTCAATGCCACATGTCAAAGAAAATGTATTCAGATATAATAGTTTTTTCAACAGAGTAAACTCTTTTCTGGAATCATGCAAAACAATTATCTGCCCTTTGGATTTTAGTTTACCAAGCTAGACCATGTAATAATTACATCCCTTACCTCTTTTCCTTTTCACAAAATACAAAAAGCTTAAGATAGCTAGCTGATTTACCTGATCATTCTGGATTGAAACTGAGAAATAGAATATGAGCCAGAGTTTTGCATTGCAACTTGAGTGGACATCGCAAACTTCCAACCTCTGAAAATCAAGGCAATTATAAAATGAATTATGATAATGAATAAACTTTATGAATACATGCCAACATAACTAATTACATGTTTAATCACCAGTGTAAAGTTTAACTGTTAGTGTTCCTGGTCCTCAGACTACTGCTACTACTCAGGGCCTAACGTACTTCTAGGTATTTTAGCAATTACGCTGGGACATGGCAGTTACATCTGAAGAGCTGGAAAGCACCTACAGTTTACCAACCTTAAAATACAGCCATTCTTAAAGTATGAAATAGAGTGTTCTGTATTTGACACTCTAGTCTTTAGTTATTATTAACAAATAAATCCTTCTAAGAAATGGGGAATGTGTTTAAATACTCAAGAATGTAAACAAAAAGAGGCATTATAAATCTCAAGGGAAACACCATGCACGAACACATGAACACCACCATGAGAAAATTTAAACATGCTTTAATCCAAAGCATGTTATTGTTGTTGGTTGTCTTCAAGTCGAGCTCAACTCATAGCAACCCTATGAACAAAAGGCCTGAAGCCTTTCTATAACTATCAACATTTATCAAAGTTCATAGAGTTTCCAGAGGCATGTTGTTTAGGAGTTGGATGTCACTCCTGCTTCCAAACTTGTCGTAAACTGGGACTTCTACTTAACACCGTCCACCATGGGTAACCATTACAGCATTTGACACCCCAATGGCACAAGGTTCAACATCAAAACAACCCCAGATTATCTCAGTACAGCATACTGACAGAAGAGTGCTGTACCACTTAGAAGAATGTTCTTCCAAACTATAGTAACAACTAATTAGGTCTTGTTGACGCTAAACAAGAGCCTTAAATAAAAAACAACCAATATAGTATGTTATTATTGTTATGTGCCATTGAGTCACTTTTGATGTTTAGTGACCCTATGTACAACAGCTCGGAACCCTTCCCTGCCCTGAGTCAGTCTCACTAATTCCAACACATCAACCCTCATAGCCCCAGATACTCTATCAATCTCTCTGTAGTCAGTGCCTTTAAAACAGGTAACTAAAAGGTTAACCCAATCGTATTAATCATTAGGTTGATACTCTTGGCAAAATACTAAATAATCTGATAAGGAATTAAAATTTTTAATATATTCTTTCAATATTCACCAACTGGCTTATGATTACATTGATAGTTTTTAATTCTTAAAAAGCACACAGAAGTTTAGTGTAGATATACTAAAGAAAATTCACAATAAAAAGAAATGTTCTTTTAATCACTTTAAATCGTATTATTCTGAAAAATGTAGAGGAATCAACATTTTATTTACTTCACAGTGAATCTCTATGAATAATTAATATGAAATACTCTATCATTAACTTACTCGGTAACAGAATATGACAAGAGAAGTTAGGTAATATAAGTCTATGATCTAATTTAATTTAGTCTTACCGGTCAGCTATTGCTTTAGCCATAAAGTAATCTTCAGCAATGTACTGAGCAAAAGCTATAAGCCCTCCTGCTTGATTTAATACATCTTTTCTCATTAAGCAAGACATTCCTGTCACACATTTGAAACCAGTTACATGGGCAGAGATGTAAGACCTTGGATGTGAAGTTCCAAAATACACCTGGAAAAAACAGTATGTATAAAATTAGGACTTTATAAGTATGATGCACATGAATGATTTTTCCTCGTTAACTCTCTTTAAATGTGATTAGAGTGGATATCTATTTATTCTTATTAAAAACTACCTAAACAAAATGAAGTGTACACTAAGTCTACAGCTGGTAGGCAGTCAACACTTTTGACCATTCTTATAAAAAAAAGATTTACAGGGACTGTAAATCTTTTCTGGAGCTTCTGGTGGATTTGAACCACAACACCACACCTCCTTACCACCAGACCACCAGAGTAACAAATAATTTATCTCCTCCTTCTGTAGTTCATATCCCAATTTAATTTCCACTGTGGTTGTTTCTGTTTTGTTATTGTTGTTTTTTTAAAAAAATAACCAAAAAAAGGTAGGTATTAATTTCCTATTTCCTTTTCTACTGTTCCATACCTGGATAATGCTATAAAGTCATCAAATATTGATGCTATTAAATCAACTACAGGAAAAGATGGCCATCAATCTTACATACTGTCCATAAAAAAATAACATTGAATCTGCCTACTCAAAATGGCCTGATACCATGACACACAAAGAACTGCACTGTAGGGTTTCCCAGACTGTAAATCTTTACTGAAGCCGCTGCTATGCTTTCTCCTACTGAGCAGATGGTAAGTGCAAGCCACTAACTTTCTGGCTGGCAGCTTGGCATTTTAACCACTGCACCACCAGCACAATTAGCCCATCAACCTTGTTTATCACTTACACCTTAGATACACTGTCTTTTCTAATTAGCTTGGATTAGAGAACAGTCTTCTGTCTCAAGGCAGGAGTTATCACATGTATAGTCCCAAATGAGAGTTAAGAGTAATTGAGAAATGATTTTTACCACCTATCCTAAGACCAGACTCCAGTAAAAACTGATGTTTCCGAACACGAATCAAACCCAATTTCTGAGACCAGAAACATACATTTTAATTCCTGATGCAATTAAGTGATATCATAAGAACAAGGTGGAACCACAATCTGGAGTTCAGGCTTCCACGATTTCCTTACAGACTGCCGTATTTCTTCTGGCCTATTTCTATCCATTCTAAGTTTGGCAGAGCAATCTCTAAAGATTGAAAGTTGAGAAAGAGAATGGATGTGTGTTTATCTGGGAGATGTGTACCATGGAAATATATACTATTTTGAAAACAAATATACAATGTAATAAATAAGAATATGCTACATACACCTAATCATTTTAGAGCAGCTGCTCAAAGTATTTACTTGGAGAATGGTATTAATGATTTAAATAAAAACTCCACTATTTACAACTAATATATTACTAGGAAATATTAAGAAATAGCTTATCATTCAAATTACCAAAGGTCAGTGCACCTTTACCTCCTCCTTTAGAGCAATGGCAATCCTAAGACTGCCATTAAAAATAATACTGGAACCCTTATTCGCTGTTGGTGGGAGTGTAAAACGGTACAACCAATGTGGAAGTGGTGTGGTGCTTTCTCAAAAAGTTGCAAAAAGAGATACCATTTGACCCAGCAATTCCACGACTGGGAATATACCCCCCAAAGAGATCATAACCGACATCCAAGCAGACATATGCACACCCAAGTTTATCGCAGCTTTGTTCACAACAGCAAGGAGTTGGAAACAACCTAAGTGTCCATCAACAAATGAATGGATAGAGAAGCTCTATATTCACACAATGGAATACTATGCTGCATTGAAAAACAAGGAGCTCATGAAATATTATTCAAAATGGGTGACCCCTGAGGACATTATGCTGAGTAAAATATCTCAGTCACAAAAGGACAAATACTGTACGGCACCACTGTTGTAGAATGAAGCTGACATCAAGGTGGGGGTAAGACTGAGAAAAACTGGATAAATTATGTTTACTGCATTGAAGCCGATGAGGGACAGAACAGTTTAAAAGTAATATATTTTAAGGCATTATGATTATCTTAAGAGTTTGGAATGAGGGTTACAGAGTAGAGTATACTCGGTGTGTGGAGGGATTGTATACCAATGAAGGAGTTTTTTCTTTTGCTTTTCAAGGAGAAGAGTGAACTGGGGGGGGAGGGGGAGAAAAGTGCAACAATGAATGAATGGAAATGCAAAATCTCTGTAAATGTTCATTGAAATTAATAATAATAAAAAAAAATACAACTCCAGACTCCTTCCTTTTAACACTAAGATGCATCCTACCCCTCCCCAAATGCTGGACAATGATTAGGTCAGCTCTGGGACAAACATATGATAAGACTGAAAGAAACTGTTAAACATTTTTATGAAAAATTATTAATTATCTGGGAAAAGCTTATGAAATAAGTGAAAAAAATATATGTTTTCTGAATACTATCTTAATTATGTCTTTAAAAAGGCACAAAGGCAAAAAGAATCTCAACAAAGGAGATACAAGACAGCTGTATATTTAAATACAAAAAGTAATATAGTTTTTCTCAAATAACACAGGAGTAATGGGAAAATAAGTTATAATATATATGCACATTTATTTCTTCTGTCTTAGAAAGGAAATATACCAAATAAGTTTAGCCTTTGTGATGCAATTTCATTCAGACAAGACTTATTTCATTACTCTTAACCAAAGCAAAATGGAATCTGGTCATATGGTACAATATTAAAATGACATTTTCATATTTAGCTTTAATGTCATAATTATTTAATCAAAAAGTAATGAAATGCATTATTTACCATTAATAAAGAAATTTATTTGTGAATATATATATAAAAAAAAATCTCAAGTGTCAAAATGCTTTAAAAAATAATTCTAAAAATAAACAAAAACATCCTCTAAGAGGCTGGGTTCTTTTTTTGCACCTTATATATCTCCATAATTTACAGATTCCTACATACAAGTTTATTTTTCCATGCAAAATGAAAACACAAAGTAAGTTTCTCATCTAATAGAAATACTTAAAAGAAAATAAAATGGCAAAGGAACAACAACTGGTCTCTTTCTGTCAGAGACAAAGAAAAGCAAAGAAAATCAAATACACATAGAAACAATTAGCCCAAAAGAATTAATGGCCCACTTCAACCTCAACATTCACAACCCTAAGACCAGAAGAATGAGCTGGTGCCTGTGTACCCCTGCCGGCCACTCTAAAAGAAATGCTAGGGGAGAGACCTGAGCAGAGTGGGAGAAAAATGTAGAGCAAAACTAAAAAATGGTGGTGAAACAGGAAAAAAAAGCATGCTGTCTAATACAAACTAGAAGGGCATTTGCCCAAGGAAAAACTCAAAAGGCAGAAAATAGTATGAAAAAGAGAGGAATGGAAATGAGAATCTCAGACAAGAAAGTGGGAGAGTGCTATTATGTTGTCCCTCATCCTTCCCTGCCATCAAGTGGGAACCAACTTAGGAAGAATATCATGTGAGGAGATTCCCATGTTTCTCCCATGGAGCCACGGATGGATTTGAACCACCAGAAACACACCCGAGTTCTCATTACAGTGAAGGGCTAGTAAAAAATGTCATATAAGAAAATGCATATGAGTGGATCAAAGGAAAAACAGTTTTCTCTCTAAACTTTCACTCGAAGCAAAATGTTGTTGTTATATACCTTTGAATCAGAACCCACTCATAGCTGATCCTCCCCCAGGGCTTCAGAAACAGCCTCCTCAATGGAGAAGACTGGACATCTCTCTCCCATGGAGGGGCTGGTGGATTCAAACTGCCAACCTTTGTACATTCATTCAATGCCAGTGTGCAGTTACAGCAGCAGTGACTATTGCTGGGGATCTAAGACTTCCCTCACTAACGAAAACAGCTATTCACAACCTGAAGATTCTAGTACACACTAGGTTACCTATCAGTTTATGAGGAAGCAGCAGTCAAGGAATGACATATTGCATTGGGTAAATTTGTTGCCAAGGACCTCTTGCTACTAAAGTGCAAAGATACTTTAAGTACTAAAGTGTAGCTTCTCCGAGCCATGGTACTTTTCAGTTGCTTTTCAAATGCAAGTGCAAGTTGGACAATGAATAAAGTAGACTAAAGAAGTGATGGCTTTGAATTGTGAAACTGTGCATAAGAATACTGAATATACTATGGAATGGCAAAAGAACAAATTAATTTATCTTGGAAAAAGGGCAGAGTACTCCTTAGAAATAGAGGATAGAGAGATTCCACTCACATCCTTTAGGCATGTTACCGAGAGGGTCCAGGCTCTGAGGCAGGACAGAATGGTTAGAAAAGTAGAGATTTAAGGAAAAGAGGAAGACCCTCAATGAGACGGAATGACACAGGACATAAACAGCGGGCATAAACACAACAGAAATTGTGAGGAATGCATAGGACTGAGTTTTGTTTTATTTGGTCCAGGGTCGCTATGGGTCAGAGCAGTGCTTGCAGGACCTAACAACAATGAAAACACAGATTTTCAAGGGAGCTCTGGTGGCCAAGTGGCAAGAAGCTATGCTGCAATTCAGGCTGCATGCAGTTCGAATCCACCAGATGCTCTGCTGGAGAAGGAAGGGCAATCTCCTCCTGTGCCAGTCAGATCCAACTCGACAGTACATGACAAGGAGGGAAAAAAAACCCAACACAGCCATTCTCAACTTGAAGATTCTAGGACACTTGTACCCGGAGAAACTTAAAGCCATTAACTTCACGCAGCGAATGCCAAATCTTACACTCAGAATAATCTCAAATATCCTGGAGATTAGGGATCTGACAATATATCATTTATGGTCACCACACTTACCTGCTCTAATGTGGCAGCAAACCCCTGTCTGTCTGCTACATAAGGTAGTCCATGGACCAAGCCTACTTTCTCTGTCATTTGGTTAACCATGTCAGTAAGTGTGTCTGGAATTACTACAATAAAAGGAGAGGAGAGGGGGGGAAATTCATTAGTCAAATGCCACCAGTATAAAACTTTTTCGTTATTCTTTTTAAGATTTAGGTTTAACAAAATTAATCATAATTGTGTTTCTAAGTAGACCACAAAGTACAAAAAAAGATTTATCATAAGCTCATTTTACAGTCTGCATTTTCATCTCTTCTAGACTTTATGTACCATCGAGCTGGAACCAACTCATAGCTGACTCTCTTAGCAGGTTTTCAGAGGTAGAAGATCAGACAGGAGGAGACTGCCTATCTTTCTTCCGCGGAGCAGCTGGTGGATTTAAATCCGCTGTCTTTGGGTTGACAGCACAATTCCTTACCACTAAGTTAGCAGAGACAGGATAAACTCTGAAGCTATTTCCTCTTCCTTTTGAACCTCCACTCTGGAAAATATGTCCTACTGGAAAAGGAACAAGACCAGAAGTCAAAGGACCTCAGATCTTGTGCTGTATCTGCTATTCTCAAACCACAGGAAGTGAGCATCCACTGCTTCAGCTAATGTAACATGTATTTTCATTGAACTGCTAACCAGAATGGAATGACGTTGTATTTGCCAAGGATTTGCACAGAGGAAGCATATAAAATAAATAGGAAATAATTTAAGATTATAAGTGTAGAGAATGAGCACAATCTTTAACTATGAGTTAATAATAGATTTGTAATAGTTTTGATTAATACGGCTTTACTGTTAATTTTGTAAATCTTCATTTTTAAACTAAAAATAAACCATTGTCCCATCTTTAAATATTTAAGACAATTTTACATGACTAGTTTTTTGTGGCCTTCAAGCATATAGAAAACTAAATTGATGATATATTTGTACCTCACATACTTGATTACTTGTATTTTAGGGCAGAGTTACCACCTTGGGGTAAACTTGCCTGCTGGAGAATATTTTTAATGCCTATAGGCACTTTTGTTTGTCATAAAGTAGTAGAAGGAATGAGGAGTACTGCTGCTCCCAGGGAGAAAGATGTGCCATTCTCCCTCTATGTGATTTACAGCCTCTGGAAACCTGGAGGGTCAGTAATGACTCGATAACAACTTGTTGGTACCTACAACAACCACCACCTGTATATAGGAGGCAGAGGGCAAACACTGCTGAACATCCCTAGCATGAATAGAGCAGCCCCACAATAAAGAACTGTCTAGTATAAAATGTCAAGAATGTGCTAGTGGCAAGAAGCTGCAACTGCAATCTCAGAGACGCACGGTTCGAATCCACCAAATGCTCTGCTGGAGAAGGAGGAACAATCTCCTCCTGTACCAGTCAGATTGACGGTACACACAAAAAATAATGAAATAAAATAAATTTTAAAAAATTTGTTAAAAAAAAAAAAAGAATGTGGAGTTTGGGAAACTATACCCTAAAGATTAATCAACTACACTAACACTTGGTAATTAAAATCATCTAAGAAAGAAGTCAACTATTGTTGCTAGGGATTATGACATATAGTGACCCTATGAACAACAGATCTGAACCCCGCCTTGTTCTGTGACATCCTTATCATCCCTTACACACTTGAGCCCATTTTTGCAGTCACTGTGTCAATCCATGTCCTTGAGGATCTTCTCTTCTGCTGACTCACCAACATTCCATGAATGATGACCCTTTCCAAGGAAAAGCCTCATCTAGCAACATTTCAAAGTATCAAGAGATGAAGCTTTATGTCTTCAAGGAGAACTCTGGTTCTAGTCTCATCCATGGGACATTCAATGTTCTTCTCCAGCACCACAACTCAGAGGCATCAATTCTTCTGTCATCCTTATTCATTCACTGTCCAACTCTCTGATGCATAGCACATGACTGAGATCATGGCCTGAGTGAGGTACACCTTAGTCTTCAAACTAACATCATTGCTCTGCAGTATTTTGAAGAGGTCCCCAACAGTGGATTTGCCCAAGTATGTCTCCTGATGTCCTGGTACCAAGGGTGTTAATTGTTGATCCAAACAAAATGAAACGGTAGCTAACTTCAATCTTTTATCTATCATGACGCTAACTGTTGGCCCTATGGTGAGGATCACTGTTTTCTTGAGGTTGAGATATAATCTATTCTGAAGGCTGTAGTTTTTATCTTATACAGCAAGTGTTTCAAGTCCTTTTCACTTTTGTACAAGTAAAGTTGTGTCATCTCCATTAAGCAGGTTTTTGAGTCTTCACACAATGAAGGTTGTTGATGAATATATAATCTAATAATTACACATACATTAGTAAAACATGCATCTACTGATTTTTATCTCTTTGTGTGAGACAGTATCTTACTGGTAACACAAACACATTATTTTATGAGAATCATAAAAATAAGGGAGAAGGTACACAAGAGACTTTTTTATATTGTCTAATGACATATATGACTTGTATGTTCTCTTAAAAATTCAAACATTTTATGCAAATCTAGATTAGGATTAAGAGATAAAAATCTTAGTATTATAACTCGACACTATCATGAAATAATATATAGATAAATTTCTTTAGTAAGCAAACAAAAAGAACTGCTAACTACATTTTCGGACTACTTCTGGCATTTATCAAGGAATAACCTCATAAAATAAGTAAGAAACACCTCACCTCTTATTCCACTATCACAAATCCATATCAGGTCATACTTTGCAACTTCATATCCTGGCATTAAATTATTAATTTTAGGGTTAATGCCAACTTTTTTGCCACCTAAAAATGTAAAGGTACAGAAATGAAAGATATACAAAACAGTGAATACACTATTATACAGATACTTCGTAGGAAAGTGAAACATGGTTTCACATTTTAATTATTAACATACTTCACATTATTATTTACATTCCCTATTATTTCAATTATTCTTTTTAAAGAATTATATAGTTGACCCTTGAATTAGCTTGCCTCCAGAATCCTTATGAACTTGGAGAAATGAAGAAATTTACACAAGTGCTCAGGTTTTTGTTGCTATGGGTCATCTACAACTCGACAGCACTTAATAACCACCACCCCCCTTGAATTACCTTGCAGAGACTAATATACATCAGCATTTAGTGCCAAATATATCTCTGCAAATCTTTGGGAAAAAATGGGTAGGCATTTTGGAAGGGGGAGTCTCTTATTATATAATAGTGAATTCTAACATTCTCAATCATAGTAAGACCATAAAAAGGGGGTGGGGGGAATGAAGCTACACATTGGAAATATCAAGTAAATGAAAAGACTCTCAAATTTCCATTACAGATATAACAATTTAGGTTGGTTTTTTTATGTGAGTCTTTGCAAAAGGGTAAATACCTTTCACTGTGCCAAAAATCTTAAAACATGCTAATAATGTCACTAAGAGGATAGCATCTTAACCTACAATTTAATGTAGTAGAGACAGTTACTGACACTTAAAAAGTAAAATGGTTACTAAGAGCTTACTGCTTACCTATAAACAATCTAGCATCCACATTAGGGTGTTTCCCAAGAAGCTTCTTACATACATCGATGGCTGGATCATCGTGATCTTGTACACAAAGGAGTACTTCATACTAGCCAAAGAACATATTTATGTCAATTAGGTTCTTTTAAAAAATAATCACTTACTGGCATTTACGCACTGACTGCAAAAGTAAGCAACCGTACACACCAAGTAGGAGAGTTAAGAGCATGTTTATAATAGATGGTAATGCTTGGAATAACAAGAGCTGCTCTGACTGAGAGCAGGTTCTCCAGCCCAGGGGCATGTGTGCCAGCAGAAGGAATAAGCAAAAAATTGGAAGCACCCACAGCTGAAGTCCTGTCATTCTTATATGGCCATGGTCTAGTAATGCAACTGGATCACACAGCTCTCCATGCCCTTCCTCACTGATGAAGATCTATCTACTAAATGCTATCTACTAAATACTAAGTGCCTAGAAGTCTACTAAGCCACACAGAGAGCAAGCAAAATAAGCAAACCCTCTGTCATTTACAAGCTTTGTATTGGAGCAGAATATTATTTGATGAAGGTGATACTAATCATGTATCAAGTCCACTTTGCTTTCAGCAAGCAAGGTGTGTCATTTTCATAACGCAGGTGGTTGGTTGATAAGTCTTCTTTTGATCTTGAACCAAATTCACAGGTATTACATTTCCAGAGAGACCAGATAAAACCTGAAAGTGGGAAGGGCACCATTTTTACCACACCCTTATAATTTCCCTAAACCCTATAAAGAATCACTCGTTCAATGCTATTCTCCCACTAAACTTTCAAAACCACCTTTGGTTGAGTCACTCAAAGGTAGTGACCTTAGCAGTGAAAACTGACTTCCCAAAGGGTAAAAGTAACAATGGGCTCTCCTACTGTCACAAGCTGTTCTGCCAGGATTGTTCTAAAAAACTCCTCGTTTATCCAAACTTAGCATTGTTCCTGTTCTTTCATAACGTATGATGTTTTGCAAGTATAAGGGAATAGAGTAAAAGAAAATATTATATCCAATGCAACTCTATATAACAGAATAAACAAGTTAATGCTGTATCCCAACCCCCAAACACAAGATAACTTCGTAAAATATAATACTGGAAATGTACTTAATAGGTGGTGGAGGGAGCTAGGTGTCATGCGTAGAACTATGTTGGGTTACATAAGAATGTATTTAGAAACATGGTGTTATGAGCATAAGCAAGGAAGTCTAGTTTTAGTAGAAAGCAAAGCTTAAAGTTTTTAATTTTCATTGGCTAAACCTCTTAATTTCTTCACTTCAAACTAAAAAAAAATATGTTCTGATTATAATGAAATGCTTCATTTTCTATTAAATTTAAAAAGGTAAGAACGAAACATGTAACTGCTAAATGAGAAGCTGTTGTTGTTGTGTACCATTGAGTCAGAAGAACAGACTCATAGCTGACCCTCCAGAAGTCTTTCAGGGGCACTACAATGTATGAGAGGAGACTGCCCATCTTTCTCCTGTAGAACAGCTGCTGGATTCAAGCTGCATGCCTTTTGACTGGCAGTTCAACTCATAACCAATAAGTCACCAGAGATCTTTCAATTAGAAATAGAATCCCATGTATTTTCTAAAGTACGGGGAAACCCTGCAAAAGCTGGAATTTACAGAAAGCTGTCAAGAGAAAGAAAATTCAATTTTCTTTCTACTAAACCAAGCCAGAATATTTATAGTATCCTGTCAACAGAAAACAAGGACAGTCAGTCCCACTGAATTCCAGTTCTCACATGTTCAGGGTACTCTATTAGATTTAATCAGAAACCTTTACTATGAACCTTCACTTCAGCTATGATAATCACCTCTGCATCTTCAGCTGATCAACTATTACATTTTCCAAGAATATATATGAAAGCACTCCCCCCTCCCCCGCTTTGAGCTCTAATGGCTTAGCTCACTGTGAGATATGCTAACTCGAAACATTTTTCCCATTAAAATGATTTTCTTTTCTTTCAAAAGGTGAAGCAATTGGAAGACTAAAAATGAGAGATATTAAAACCTAAGCAACAAGAGGGTAAAGAAAATGGGAATGATGTGGTGTGAAAATGGTGTGAAAAACATTGTATATGAACTTTGTAAGTAAGCCAGTATAAAATAAAAATTTTATTTAAATGAAAAAAAGCCAACACCAAGAAACCTAACCAACAGGCAATTCTCAGCTCTCTAGTATTTAAAACCTGGACATCTAAAATGGTAACAATCATGAATACTACTTTTTTATCTTTATGACTAAATTAAGATGTATAAATTAGATTTACATGTTAAGTAATATAAGAAAATTCTCACTAATTTAGCCTTAATTAGCATTAGGATGGTAAATCTTTTAATATAGGAAGACAAAACATCCTCTTAAAACAGAGAAGAATTTTCATTGTTTTAATATATACTAACTAATCACATTACATGAGTAATAGTATCTTAAATTATTTACAAATGACTACTGTACACATGGGGAACTCTTGATAAGAAGCTATGTTGAAATCCCAAAGGTGCACAGTTCATATCCACCATTTGCTCCATAGGAAAAGGATAGGCAATCTCCTCCTGGGCAATTTACTGCCTTGGGAAACCCATAAGGGTCAGCTATATGATTGTTCTGACTCGAGGGTATACAACAACACTGTGATACTGAAGGACCACTCAATTTTGTGGAAAATTAGTATTACTTTTTTATTCTTATATGTTCTCTAGGAGTAAGTATTAACAAGAAAAAAAAGTGGATTTTCAAGATATTTAGACATTTTTCAGGGCAGGTAACACAGCAACTGTCTCACCAAAAACAAGCACCAGCTGTTAAATCTTGTATGTGTCCATGAAACATTGTGCTTACCTTGGGATAATCCAACTCAAAGAATGTTTCTAAATTGTTGATTAGATTGGGATCAACTCCCTTCAATGGTTTCAGAAGGGACACACCTGGAAGCTTGCTATATGGCTGTTTGTCCGTTGCCTTCTTGTTGAGGTGTAATCGGCTAAAATACAAACAATACACAATAAATTAATTAAAGAGTATGTTTTAGTATTACATCAAATTAAGACCTAGTTAAGCTGTCAACAAATTAAAGAGGAAACTCGAAACTGAAGAAAGGGAGAACCAGGGTAAATTTCAAATGTAGGAAGATTAGAACAAAGCAAAATTAATATTCCAGTTAAGGCCAAAACTTATTGCTGTTTACTGCTCCAGAAGTTAGAAACAATGATAGAGAAACGAATGAGAGAGTTAGCTCACATCCTTCTCAAACTGTCAACGAGTGGAAAAGAACTTAAGGGAGAACGAACTTCCATATTTGCACCAGAAAAATACAAAGGAGATGACCATATATTTGTGAGGAATTTCTGTAACAAAGAGCCCAAACAGCATAGTATTGCAAGAAACCTCAATTTACCTGCAAAGAAAATGGACTAACCAGCTGAATTCCTAGTAATCAAATTCCTTGAATAACTGAGATGGAACAGAATTTAAAGGTTTAAACAAAACAAAAAGAACAAAATTAATGGCAAAAAAAATGTGTATTACTGACAACTGAACATAAGCTGGTTAATGTCACAATAAAGGAAGGGATGCCATTCAGCACAGTTTCTAAGGGAAGTTTCTAAAGGCTTCCTTCCTACTTAAGCAAATCTCTTAGCACACAGCAGCAACTAAAGGCTGTGTTGTGTAATGGCAAATCGGAACCGACCCATAGTTGATTGTTCAACAGATTTTGAGAGCTGTAAGTCATATGCGAGAAGATTGTCCATCTTTCTCTTCAAGAGCAACTGGTGCCTTCCAGAGTACAGCACAGCTTCTTACCACTAGGCCACCAGAGCCCCAATGAAAGGCGAGGACAAACAAAAAGCCATCTATAAAGGATCAGAAGGAATACACTCTTCCGTATTTTTAACATCTCATTTCAGTATCTCCATCAATAGCAGCCGGACTGATAGTCCTGACTCAACAGTATAAAAACTAACCAATGAGACCCAATCAAAAAGGAAAACAAAACGAAAAAACATACCAATACCAATGTATCTCTGATTTGATAAAAAGAAATGTGTTAGATGTGGTAAAAAGTAACTGTTAACCTAGGAAAGACTTCTGAAAGTATAGTTGTACTATCACCCACAGCAGTTAACTCACAGGTTAATGCTCAGATATTGAGGTTGAGGTGTACTGTAGCCAAATGCCTACGGTTTCAGATAAGGCCATTCAAATATTGTAGCTATGAGCAAATACCCACAATGGAAAAGTAAAAACACTTAATATCAACTTTGATCCAATAACAAGCAAATGCCATAAAACTGAAGGTGCACCTTTTAAAGCAGTTCTAGTCAGAGGGTGGTGTGGCCACATGCTTTTACTGCAGTTGCAGCGATCTGTCATTCTTGTGACGCACAAGCATGTGTTCAGCAATTTCTTTTTATTATAGTTTACCAAAAAGTATCACTCCATGACAGACAGGCTGGGAATTTTTAAAGGATTGATCCTTTGCCACAGATGAGTTAAAAGTACAGTGATCTACAAAGTTCACTGAGGGGATGGAAAGAGTATGACTAAAAACACACAGCCACACTTCCCACAAATCACTAAACACCTGGAGAAGACGATCCAAGACAGTATAGATCACTGTGGAGTCTTAAACACGTTTTTGTTGGGTGCCAGTTGACTTGACGATTACTCAGAGAACCCAGTGACCAACAACAGATCAATGCTTTGCCCTATTCTCACAAAAGTCAAATCTCTGTCATGCTCAAGGTCATTATTATGGTCATTGTGTCAATAAATACTGGGACAATAAGAGAAACTCTTTCCAAAGCCAGAAATAAAATAAATTTCAAAGTAAGTGAATGCTAGCTGGCACTTATCACTGGTGCCTGGTGACCTATTGATGGAAAGAAGCCCCAAAACTAAGAATGATGAGAAATCTGCGTGTGAAAACCCTGTATAAACCTGAATGCCCCTGAAAGGTGTAGGAGTCAAAAAGAACTCACACAAGCATAAAGGGACAGTCCTAGGTGAAGTGGATTAAGAGAAAAGTCTTCCTGAGAATACTTAACCACATGGATTTGAGGTCTAGAATGCACACAACTGGCCGGTAGTGTCTGTACAACACCCAAGACAAAGAGCAAGAAACAGATGATGTATCTTACCCAAGAACACATGAAAAGAATCAAACAGATGTTTAAGGATTAAAATGGTGATCATCGAAATGAGGAAGTAAATAAAAATATAAAATCACAGATTTTTCTGTATATAGAATAAAAAGAGAACTGAAGATGTAAACTCTAAATTAGGGGGGAAAAAAATTAACCGAGAATACAGCATAGAAAATAGCAGCAAAGACACAAAAGTGCTTAGACTTCAGGAGAATGAGAGAAAGATGGAACAAGAATATACAAATTTTGCCTGCCACACAAATAATGATGGCAGGCATTTCAGACATTCCAAGTATATACTGTAGAATACACAATATGTATATTCACTCATTTTCAACTGTACTTCTCAAAAGGTGATCAATGGCCCATTTTAAAAGTGGCCTGAGTGGCAGAATCCTCCAAGGTTATCAGCTTTATGAGTGGCACAAATGGAATTCCATAACGTTTACCGGTTTCAGACCAGCTTTGTAGGTTCTTGGGTCAGAGTTTCTGTTACGCAGACCACATAGATCTAAGTCTATCACACCCACACAAGACATAGGATTTCCTGACTTCTACTCTTGGCTTTGAGCAAGTTTCTGGTAAGAACTTGGGTACGGAACTTCCTTACTTTACAAGCTCCACATTAAAAACCCTGTTCTACTTTCCTATCATACATTCATTTGGTTTATAGCCTTGACCTTCTATAGGGTTTTTTTTGGAGGTCTGCATTTTATTGTTATATACAGTTGAGTCAGAACTAAGTCATAGCTGACCCTCAGTGGGTTTTCAGAGGCTGCCGCATAGCAACTAGTGGATTCAAACCACATGTTTTTGGGTTGTCAGTGCAACTTCCTAACATATATAAAACCACACCTAAGTGTGGCTCAAGGAATTTTCTCAAGTGACACACTACATGGCACCAGCACACAGATCAAGAAACCGTCTTATCAGAATCTTAATGCTTCCTTCTATGTACTACCTTCTTCTCAAGAGCAGCCATTATTCTGACTTTTGACAATATAGAATAGTTTTGTTCTCATTTTCTATATAAACAGAATCTTGTAGGATATATTCTTTTGTGTTTGATTTCTTTTGCTTAACTTTATGTTTGTACAATTCACTCATCATGTTACATCTCACCAATCTAGAACTGTTGTTACTTGGGTCTAAATTTAGCCAACAAGTAAGAATCACTGCTTTGCAGTTCCTCTTTCCTTCTAGAACCTGGAAGTCTTTCTTATTTCCAGTATGTATACGTGCAGCATCAACATTGTCATATGCTTTGAGTGGGAAAGGCAGTTCTCTCATATGTATATAGTAACGCAGTATGATACAGACTTGAATGAAAGTATGTTCAGAGAGTGCAACCACTGTGGAAGGCTGTATGGCACTTTCTCAAAAAGATGCAAATAGAGATACCATTTGACCCAGCAATTCCTCTACTGGGAATATACCCCAAAGAAACCATAACTCACCCAGGCAGATATATGAACACCCATGTTTATCATGGCTTTGTTCACAATATAGCAAGGAGTTGGAAACAACCTAAGTGCCCATCAATAAATGAATGGACAGAGCAGCTCTGCTATATTCACACAATGGAAATACACTGAAAAACAAGGAACTTACGCAATATTATTCAAAATGGGTGATCCTAAATGCTAAGTGAAATATCTCAGTCACAAAAGGACAAATACTGCATAGTGCCACTGTTGTAGAATGGGACATCAGGGTTGGGGTGAGACTGAGAAAAGGTGGATAAATTATGTATATACATTGAAACAGATGCGGGAGAGAACAATTTAAAAGCAATATATGATAGGGTATTATGGTTATGACAAGAGTCCAGAATGAAGGTTGCATAGTGGAATGTACTCGTGGGGGGTGGGGGATTGGGGGATTGTATATCAATGAAAGAATTTTTCTTTTACTTTTCAAAGAGAAGAGTGAACTGGGAGAGAGGGGTTGGCAGGGAGAAAAATGAATGCAACTATGAATGAATGGAAATCCAAAATCTCTGTAAACATTTATTAAAATTAATAAAATTTAATTTAAAAAAAGTATGTTCAGAGAGTGAAAAGAAGGAACACATCGAACTCCTCCCAGGAGGCAGTCCTTTAAGACTTTACTACTCAACATTAGCCACAGAGCAGCAGCACTCACATCATCCAAGAAGGTGGACATGAACACTCTCAGGCCCACACATTCCAGTCTACTGAATCAAAACCTGCACTTTAATAAGATTTCCCGGGTGATTCACAGGCACATTCAAGTTGGAAAAGGTCTAGTGTAAGACTCATTTATGCTATAAATTCTTTCTTAGCTTCACAGGCTAGGCTTGAAAGACTTGTAGCTCTTCCTACAGGTATTGGGTAAATGGCAAGAGTAGAAGGAAACAGCAATAATTATAGTTTATACTTAAAGTGGAGAAACTTAAAGTCAATTCAGGAGAGATTAAAGGAAGGGAAATTATTAGAAGAGTTTCAGAGGAGCAGATAGATAGGTGGGCAAACTAAAGAGGCAGCAAAGGGACTGAAAAGAAAGTAGAATCAAAGAAAGTAAAAAATTTAGAATTGATGAGGCTTTGAGAAGTAGAGACAATTAAAGGTGTGGCAGAATCTACAGTGTGAGCAGGACTTTAAATCACCTGCCAAAACTAAGGGTGGAGTTTCAGGCAAGTGAAGATTTAGAAGCCCTGCCAGTAATGCATGATGGTGCTAAATATAGAAATAGAGAACTGCCAGATACCACTGCAGGCTTGGCTGAGAGCTGAAACCATGAATGTGTGGTAGTATCAGTCCACATGGCTGTGTGATTACTCTCTGTGGGATTCTGAAAGCTGAGAAGCTATAAA